ATCATAACTCAAAGGAAAACAAAAGTTTTAGTTATTTTATTTCACTTATTGAGCGGTCTCTACCCCCTTTCTTTTCTTGCCTTTATTTCTTTAGAATCTTCTTTTTTCACTTTAATGGAATTGTTATTCTAATTGAATTTTTGAGACAGTTTGAAAATGGTATTTACTTGTTCCAGGATCTTTTAGCTTTTCCTTGAATCGTTGGGTTTAGACATTACTTCGGGGATCTTTAATCATTTCCAAAAATGGCAGCAACATACCATTTTTTCTTTCTCTCAAAGAATTAGATAAATAGAAGGTTGATTCCCTCGTATACACTTTGAATCGAAATAGTTTTACCAATTCCTCCGAAAAGTAAATTGATTTTTTTGGAAACCTTGCTCGAATTGGATCCTTTTTCTTTCTCTATCAAAAATATACTTACGAAGTTGTTCTAATTTATTTTATTAATTTTCACTAACCTTAGATACTTGCCTCTTATAAATGAATCAACTCGAGCTCCCCCTCGTGTACTATACTATTTACAGCATCAATATCTCTTCACCCCCCCCCACCCAAACAAAATAATGAGTTCTAGTGGAAGAGAAGAAACGATGTCGAGCCAAGAGCACTTCCATTTCTATATACTAGAAAAAATGGCGGATGTTAGAATCCACAGATAATTGAATCATGTCTTTCAAGTCGCACGTTGCTTTTTACCGCATCGTTTCAAACGAAGTTTTACCATAACATTTATTCCTTTAGTTTAGATCCGGTATGTAATTGATTCATTTATTAAATCGTGAATAGTCATTGATTGTTGAATTGATACATAAGAATCTATTAACTTCTACTTGGTTTTCCCTCTATATGACTGGAGAATTTATAAAGTAAAGAAGTATAACAAAATTAAAATTAACTCGATGTTGTATGAATATATTTTCTATTCTATTTGGATAGTTTGTAAAATAGAAAAAATGGAATTGCTTCAAAAAAAATATGAAAAATATACATATCTAAAAAAAAAAAAGAGAAATAAATATGAAATAAACTATAATATAAAAATAGAATAAGAATAAAAAAAGGGAGAGGGGTTAGTCTTTATTCTTATATTTCATTTGTATTACATAAGATACACATCACATCATGAATAGATATGTTCTGGGACGGAAGGATTCGAACCTCCGAATAGCGGGACCAAAACCCGTTGCCTTACCGCTTGGCCACGCCCCATTTTTGATTTGGCACTAATAAACACTATTCTTGATATTGGTTGTTCGTCAATTCTAGTTCAACAATTTCTATATAAAAAATTGTTGATAGTATTTTGACATGTCTATTTTTATATGTATATATAGAATTCAATTCAGATATTCTATTAAAGTATGATTTCTTCTATTTGTAGGTCTGATATTATTCATTTTTTAATAGTTTTACTCATTTATGAATATTGATTCATATCTATAATTCATTTCATTCATAAAAGTTCATAAAAAAATTATGTATTTCTTATAAATGAATAGATAGCATAAAATAGTCGAAATCGTAATATTCTTATTCATAAATATTCTTATTAATATAAGTATTCATAACATAAATTAAATATCTAAAATAAGAATATTTGTATTCTATTTCTTATTTTAGATATTTTTGAATATTCAAAAATATCTAAAATAAGAAATAAATATATATATATTCATTCAATATCTTAATTATTTTAATTATTATAAATTGTTTTTTTTATTATAATAATTAATTATATATAATTAATTATTATAATCTTAGTATAATATATATATATACAACTTTTCTTTTTTGAATATACAATTTCAAACAGAAGATTATTAAAAAAATAGAATATTAATAAATATATAACAAAATAGGAATAAAAATTATAATTTTATTACACATATTAACATAATATTAATATTGTACGTATATTATAATTATATATATACAATCAAATACAATAATAAAAAATGCGAATTCAAAAAAAGAAAAAATATAATGAATTTTATTAAAAAACAAAATGTTTGTTATGCTTAATATCTTTAGTTTTGTCTGTATTTGTATTCACCCTGCTCTTTATCCAAGTAGTTTGTTCTTGGCTAAATTACCCGAAGCCTACGCTTTTTTGAATCCAGTTGTAGATATTATGCCAGTAATACCCTTACTCTTTTTTCTCTTAGCTTTTGTTTGGCAAGCTGCTGTAAGTTTTCGATGAGATCATTAAATTTATTAAATTAAATAATGTCCTAACAAAATTCATAATTTCTTTTAAAACCAAAATTAAAACATTTTAAGAATTTATAGGATCAGATAAGTCTTAGAGCATGAATCTTCGATTCCAATATGTAGATTTTTTTGATAGACAAGAAAAATCCACCCTTTCATAATTTTCCTTTTTTCCATTGAGAAATCCGAATCCTATTATTAGATTTGAATCCACCATCAATATCTAGATGTCAATATCTAGATTGTTTATATGAAAGAGAATTTTTGGTATTGGTAATAGGAATGAATATTGGTACTAAGAAATAGTACTCAAAGACTCGACTCTTACCTTACTACAAATCCATTTACGAATTTTTTTTTCTCTTTCCTCGAAATCACTTCATTTCTTAGAAAACTGAGTCTCAGAAGAAACATAATGTGTAATATAAGAGAATCTATTCTCTTTCTCTGTCGTTTTTTTATTATCTTGGAGATTTTGTAATGCTTACTCTAAAACTATTTGTTTACACGGTAGTGATATTCTTTGTTTCTCTTTTCATCTTCGGATTCCTATCTAACGACCCAGGACGTAATCCTGGACGTGAAGAATAAAAAAAAATATTTTCTGTTTTCAGTGTTTTCCTTGCTTGTGCTGAATTTTTAAGTATTTATTTTGAATATTTTTTCTATTTTACATAATTTCACTAACTAGTAAATTCAAAAAAATCAAACAAATCTTGGTAATTTCAAAAAGAAAAATTACCAAATCCTCAACGGAAACGGAAAGAGAGGGATTCGAACCCTCGGTACAAAAATTCATACAACGGATTAGCAATCCGACGCTTTAGTCCACTCAGCCATCTTTCCCCACTAAAAAAAAAACGATTCTTTATATCTTACTTTTTTTTCTTATTTTTTTTTTTTTACAGCCAGAGCCCGGCTAGGTACTGGCCGGGCTGCTCTTTTTATTCCCATGAATCCCAGACAACAACGATTTATTTGAATTTGAAAAAAAAACTTTTGGATTCCTATAATATAGAACCAAAATGATAGAATATCAATCAAAATCAAATTTCATTTTTTATTATTCCTTTTTTTGGTAACGTATAAAAAAAGAATGTAACTATGAATTCTTGCATAATGCATTTTATGTTATGAATTTAGTAATTTTTTCGAGATGTATCTGTCAAAACAAAACATTTTCAGAAAAAACAAAATCAAAAAAAAAAGGCTCCATTTCTTAATTACGACTTATTCCCCAGTTCGACAAAAGCTCCCATTATATACAATAATTGTATTGTAGCGGGTATAGTTTAGTGGTAAAAGTGCGATTCGTTCTACGGATCCTTAAATAGTTAAGGGATCTCTCAGGGGATTCATATCCCGACGAAAAACTTTATTTCTTACTTAACGGAGTTTGATCCTTTATACCTCTCAACGAACGATTCGAGGAATAATATACATTATCATAATTTGTATCCAAGAAGAATCAATTCTAAATTGGCAAATGGAATTAAAAAATTGTGAAACATAAGTTTTTTGGAATTTGATCAAGAATCCCAATTTTTGGAGTATGAGTAAAGTATCCATGGGGAAATATATAGAAAGTTGATTTCTTTTCTAATCGTAACTAAATCTTCCATTTTTTTTTAGTAGAGATTGAAGCAAAATAGCTATAAAGCGATTCTTTTAGTTTACTAGAAACATCGACATATTTTAGCTCGACGGAAATTTTTTTATTTTTCTAAAGATTCTCTCAAATAGAAATAGAGAACGAAGTAACTAGAAAAAAAAAAACGGATTGTTATAATAGTCCTCTTTTTTCTATGGGGATCATCTAAAAAGCAAGGTGTTTTAACTGTATTTATGCAGAAAGGCTAACATAGATGTTATGAGTCAATTTTTTGTTCATGTCTTCCATCTCTTATCTTAATTTCTTCCGTAAAGGAGCCGAATGAAACAAAAGTTTCAAGTTCGGTTTTGAATTAGAGACGTTCAAAATGATGAGTGAACGTCGACTATAACCCCTAGCCTTCCAAGCTAACGATGCGGGTTCGATTCCCGCTACCCGCTTAGATCCTATCTCTCTATTTATTCTATTCGAATATATCTTTTTCTATTCTTGAATGAATCTTTTTTATTAGTAAATTGGTTCATTATTCCTTTGAATTTCGTAACGTCGTTTTAGTTATTTATATTCAATTGAATTTTATTTTGATTAGTTATTCTATATAACTATCTAATATAGAATAGTTTTCTATATAATTTTTTTTTTCTTTGACTTTTCTTTTCACTAAATTAGTGAAAAGAAAAGTCAAAGAAAAAAAAAGCGTCCATTGTCTAATGGATAGGACAGAGGTCTTCTAAACCTTTGGTATAGGTTCAAATCCTATTGGACGCAAATTATTTGTATATGTATATTATATTTTTTTCTTTTTAATTGAATTTTTCTATTTCAAAAGATATCTTGAATTGAATGATTTGAAGTGAACAAGAGCTGCTTAGACTTTTCGGATATAAATTTATCTTATGTATTTTTTATATACACAATCTAGATCTTGTCTCTATATTTTTTTGTATACAATCTTTTCAAAAATCCCGAATTTCTTCTTTTTTTTTGTTTTATATTATCTTAGAATTCAATTTATATTCGAATTGAATAGAAATTGAATATAATTTATGATAAGAATATTAAAGTTAAAAGAAAAGATCTTCAAAGATAAGAATTATTAAAATTCACAATTATTGAATTATTAATCAACTTCTTTATACTTGTTCCTGGAGTAAAAAGAGTTCCATCTGTTCCTGAATAGCTTCCTTCAAAAGGACTTCTGCTTCCCCAGTGAATGTCTTGGTAGAAGATATGATTTCTTTAAATTGAGGTTTATTCGTTTTTAAGTAAGCACGTAACTCAACGAGAAATTTTCTTACCTGTCCAATTTCTAATGAATCAAGATAACCATTCGTTCCGGTATAAATAGTTATTATCTGTTCTTCCACAGCGAGAGGAGCTGCTTGGGATTGTTTTAGCAACTCGCGCAATCGTTGACCTCTTGCCAATTGATTTTGAGTAGCTTTATCGAGATCAGAAGCGAACTGCGCAAAAGCTTCTAATTCTGCGAATTGTGCCAATTCTAATTTTAATTTACCAGCTACTTGTTTCATTGCTTTAATCTGAGCCGCCGATCCAACCCTGGAAACGGAAATACCCACATTAATAGCAGGTCTTATTCCAGCATTAAAGAGATCTGCGGATAAGAATATTTGGCCATCTGTAATAGAAATTACATTAGTGGGAATATAAGCTGAAACATCCCCCGATTGGGTCTCAACTATTGGTAAAGCAGTCATACTTCCTTCACCTAACTGAGAACTTAATTTAGCGGCTCTTTCCAAAAGACGCGAATGCAAATAAAAAACATCTCCCGGATAAGCTTCGCGACCCGGCGGTCTTCGTAATAGAAGAGACATTTGGCGATAAGCCTGTGCTTGTTTGGAGAGATCATCATAAATGATTAAAGTGTGGCGTTCACGGTACATAAAATATTCAGCCAAAGCTGCTCCTGTATAAGGGGCGAGATATTGTAATGTGGCTGGAGAATCCGCAGTTTCGGCTACCACAATAGTGTATTCCATTGCTCCCCTTTCTTGTAAAGTAGTCACCACTTGAGCCACAGAAGATGCCTTTTGGCCAACCGCTACATAAACACATATTACATTTTGTCCCTGTTGATTGAGAATCGTATCGGTGGCTACTGCTGTTTTACCTGTTTGTCTGTCCCCAATAATTAATTCTCGCTGGCCACGACCTATAGGTATCATCGAATCAATAGCAAGAAGTCCTGTTTGAAGAGGCTCATATACGGAACGTCTCGAAATAATACCAGGCGCGGGCGATTCGATTAATCTAGATTCCGAAGCTGAAATTTCTCCTCGACCGTCAATAGGTTTAGCCAGGGCATTTATAACACGACCCAAATAAGCCTCACTTACTGGTATCTGAGCAATTCTTCCTGTTGCTTTTACCGAACTTCCCTCTTGTATCATCAAACCATCACCCATTAATACAACGCCAACATTTTTTGATTCCAAATTCAAAGCAATGCCTATAGTACCCTCTTCAAACTCCACTAATTCACCCGCCATTACTTCATCCAGACCATAAATACGAGCAATGCCATCGCCTACTTGAAGTACGGTCCCAGTATTTACAATTTTGACTTCGGTATTATATTGCTCAATACGTTCACGGATAATTTTACTAATTTCATCTGCACGAATGGTTACCATGAATATTTCTTAATTTGATTCTTTTTTAGAAGAAAAAAACAATGCCTATACTCTATACTTCTAGTATAGTAGAAGGACTAATCCGTTATTTTTTTTTGTTTCATCGACCCAAACATGCCAATATTAGCACTGATAGTACGTAAATGTAAATCGCTATTCAAGCAACTATTCAGAGTTCCTAGAGCTCCTCGTAAGGCTTGTTGTAAAACCTGCTGTCGTACTTGATTAATCGCCCTTTGTTGTTGAAAACGAATGGTTTCGTTTTTATAATTTTCTAAATGTCCCAAAGTAGTATAAATGGAATTTATTAAATTCGATTTTTCTCGTTCTATTTCAGAATAACCATTCACTCGAAATCGATCTGCTTCCGTTTCGACTTTCCTTAAGCGTGCTCGGGCTTTTTCCAGCTGTTCGACCGCCCCTTCCCGAAGTTCTTCTGAATTTCGAATAGTTCTCAAGATTCTCTGTTTTCGATTATCTAATAAATCACTTAATGAAAGTAGATTCTATTTCCATTCATTTCAAAATGTCTATGATCTCTTCCCGAACCAAACATGAATCTTTGGATTCATTTGGCTCTCACACTCAATTACTTATGGAAAATTTCCATATCTTTTTTTTCTATAATGAGCCTATCCTCTATTCTCTATTTATATATTCAAAAAAGATTGAAAAATATTTAAAATGAATAAAAAAGACCAGAATATTAGGAGGACTCTTCTGACCACACAAATAATTGTCAGTAAAGTTGTTTTTTTTCTTATTCAAATTCAAAGAATTCTTATTAATTTATACATAGGTCATCCATTCTGCATTGTATAAGTATAAAAAGGGGGTCAAATACCCGTTTTTCCACCATAAGGGGAATTCAAGCCATTTTATCGATATGAGTGTTCTATATCGATAAAATTCCACAAATTTTTTGGAAACCATTTCTGTATGAACATCGTGGTAGAAAGATTACTACACTGCGCCTAGATTTCAAACTGCCCAGCTTTAACCATGGTAGTGGTCCAAAATTCTTGGTCGATAGAGAATCAAAGTGAATTTACCGATTAATCACGAAATGCTATGGTTCTTAAATTTTTTCTGAATTTATTCAGAAGTCATTCGTGGGATCGTACACATCTTTTCTAGTTATAACGAAAAAGTGCAGTTGGTTGGATCCAATCTATTCTTTGAAATAAACAACTCGCACACACTCCCTTTCCAAAAAAAACCAATACACCGAGCACTATACTTAGATTTATTAGATTTGTTGCTAAAATATCGGTATTCAACCCGAAACTTCCGGAGGATGGCAAAGAACCCAAGCAAAGGAAAGAATCGGTTATATTTTTCATATGATCTCCTCTTATGGATAGACTAATTATCTTTCTACGATTCCTATTTTTTCAATTTTTGTAGTTTTTTTCTTTTATATGATAAATCTATCATATAAAAGAAAATTCCCATTACTTACTATTAATTCATATTAATTATTAGCAATTAGCAATAATATTACTATAAACAAAAGTAAGTAATAAGAATAAAGAAAAAGAATGTTATCAAAAATTATATTTTTTATTGGAATTGGTCAGTCAATTGGAGGATTGTCCATAAGAATTATACCGATTCAATTCGATACCGGTTCTTGTGCCAATTGCAAAATATCTAGTTGTTTTCAACATTTTCGAAAAACTTTCTACTAAAAAAAAGGGGGGATTCGTTCGACTAACCTAAAAGGGATAAGGAAGACGGTGAAAAGGATTCAGTATGTTAATTCCTCATCCTTAAATGTGTCCTTCCTTTGTTTTCTTGTCTGAACGAATAAAGAATTTTAGGAATTAAATCTTAATATCATTCGAAAAAGCAAGAGTAGCAAGGCAAGTCCACGGAAAACTTGTATTTTTATTTTCTATTTTTTTAGGATTACATTAAACAAAAGGATTCGCAAATAAAAGTGCTAATGCAACAACCAGCCCATAAATTGTTAAAGCTTCCATAAAAGCCAGACTAAGTAATAAAGTGCCCCGTATTTTTCCCTCTGCCTCCGGTTGTCGCGCAATCCCCTCTACAGCTTGTCCTGCAGCAGTGCCTTGACCAACCCCAGGTCCAATAGAAGCAAGCCCGACAGCCAACCCAGCAGCAATAACGGAAGCGGCAGAAATCAATGGATTCATGATAAGTTCCTCGCACTCCAAATAAAATAAAGAAAAGAAATAGTTAATGATATAATCAACCAACAAATTATGACTTCATTATTCAATTACTAAGATTGGTGCAGTCGCAATAATAAAGAGTTCCGAATTGAAAATAAGAATATTTATCAAACTCGAACTATCCTAATTACTTTGATATTTCTTTTTTTGTTTCTACCTACGCAGTTTTTACAATTTTTGTTATTATGTTATTATTTTCCATTAAATTTTCGAACCATTATTAGAACTCTTCATTATTTTTCTTGATTTACTCTCTTTAGTCATTCAATATTCAATTCAGAATTTACAGCAGTATCGGGGAATATTTCGATAGATAGTGAATTGGTAGATATATAAATAAATAGAACTAGTTAGTATCTAATATCACATATACATGTGTTTTTTCCATACCGTAAACTAATTAATCGTGTCTTAGATTCAATCGGATTCGATAATTCTTCTTTGAAATCTATAAAAAAGAAACAAACAAAGATTTCCCTTATATCGATTAGATTATATACAATCCAGCCCCCTCTACTCTTTTTTTTTTAATTCCCCGTCTCGTAATCTTTTTTAGTTGACTATTACCCTAAATCGTGTACTTAATTTGATTTATACCTTATTGTATCTTTTTTTTTTTGGGGGGGGGGGGGGGGGGGGGGGGGATCCCTTTATTATTAACAATTTTCTAAATTTATTTCTATTTTTTATATTTTTGTTCCCTAAAGTATATTATCTTGAGCCGCATATACATTGCGGCTGGCTAAACTAAAAAAAGACTATTTCAAAAACGAGTCAATGGTGGCCTTCCATGGATTCGCCTATATAAGCCGCAGTTAAAGTAGCAAAAATAAGAGCTTGAATACCACTTGTAAATAATCCGAGGAACATGACAGGTATAGGAACTACTAAAGGTACTAAAGAAACCAAAACAACAACTACTAATTCATCAGCTAATATATTTCCGAAAAGTCGAAAACTAAGCGATAAGGGTTTTGTGAAATCTTCTAAGACGTTAATGGGTAAAAGGATTGGAGTTGGTTGGATGTATTTACCAAAATAAGCTAATCCTTTTTTTGAAAGACCCGCATAGAAATATGCTATTGACGTAAGTAAAGCTAATGCAACGGTAGTATTTATATCATTTGTGGGTGCAGCTAACTCCCCATTAGGTAATTGTATGATTTTCCAAGGCAAAAGAGCCCCTGACCAATTAGAAACAAAAATAAATAGAAACATAGTTCCAATAAACGGAACCCACGGACCATATTCTTCGCCAATCTGAGTTTTGCTCACATCTCGAATGAATTCAAGGACATATTCAAAGAAATTCTGACCGAAAGTGGGAATGGTTTGTGGATTTCGAACAACTAGAATGGCTGAAACTAATAAGATAGCAATTACAACCCAAGAGGTAATAAGTACTTGGGCGTGTACTTGGAAACTCCCTATTTGCCAGTAAAAATGTTGACCTACCTCCACAGCAGATATATCGTATAATCTTTTTAATGTGTTGATGGAACATAATAGAACATTCATATTGCCCTGTCCTCTAAAAAAATAATAGAACTTGAAAGGGAATTATTTTAATTCAACCATCTCCTTTTTGACTTGTCTACTTTCATTTTCTATTTCAAATATTGACTAATCACATAATATTTCCGGTTGCTCTTTTTATCTTTCTCTTTTTTGCGCTATTTAGTAATAGTACTGCCCCACAACCAAATAAAATATTTAATTTGTCTTATTATGAATTAAGACTTTCGTATATAGCTAGAACGACCCCCATAAATTGCAAATACTAATTTGTTCAGAATGAATCGTATTGAAGCTATAGCATCATCATTAGCCGGAATCGAAATATCTGCGAGATCGGGGTCACAATTTGTATCGATTAAACAAATCGTTGGAATTCCCAAAGTGATACATTCTCGAAGAGCCTTATATTCTTCTTGCTGATCAACAATTATTACTATATCAGGTAACCCCGTCATATATTTTATACCGCCCAGATATGTTTCCAAGTGTGATAATTGTCTCTTCAACATAGCAGCATCTCTTTTTGGAAGGCGGTTTAGTCTCCCCATCTTTTGTTCTGTTCTCAAGTCCCTGAACTTATAAAGTCTCGTTTCCGTAGTATACCAATTTGTTAACATGCCACCGAGCCATTTTTTATTAACATAATGACATCTAGCTCTTATTGCAGCCCGTGCTACTGAATCAGCTGCTTTTTTTTTGGTACCAACAATTAAGAATTGTTTTCCCCCACTTGCTGCATCAAAAACTAAATCACAAGCTTCTGATAAAAAACGAGCAGTTCTAGTAAGATTTGTAATATGAATACCCTTACGCTTTGCGGATATATAAGGTGCCATTCTAGGATTCCATTTCCTAGTACCGTGGCCAAAATGAACTCCTGCTTCCATCATCTCTTCAAAAGTTATGTTCCAATATCTTTTTGTCATTTATCCCCACATTTTTTTGAAAAATAAAAAAAAGAAAAAAAAAAAGAGACCGGGTATCCCGAAATAGAAATAAAGAATTGTTCCAATGGAACCTTCTCTTCTGCCGAAGATTGGCCGTTGAGACATGATCGGGCCATTCATTTTTTTTTTTTTTCTTTTTTATTATCTTTGATTCCCAAGTAAAATGACCACGTTTAGGGATTGAATCCACTTTTGGAAATCATAAAATCCCAGATTGCTCTGATGTATCGTATAAATTGTTTGAAATGAAAAAATCAAATAATTCTCTGTGGTGGAACAAAATATATCGCGCCCCCACTCCAAATAATTTTTTTTTTTTTTTGTCCGAGGTAATCTTGTTATGTTGCCTCGGCCTTGAACGGTGCATTCTTCTTTTGAATCCGGTACCAACGGGTATCATTCCCCCTAAAACAACATTCTCTTTCAGACCTTTCAACCAATCGATACGACCCCGGAGAGCAGATTTTGCTAAAACCCTAGCAGTTTCTTGAAAACTCGCTTCAGATATGAAACTTTGAGTATTCAGAGATGTTTTTGTTATTCCCAATAATAGAGCTCGATAACTAATCGCTTCTTGCAAGGCACGCCCCGTTCGTTCAGCTCGCAACAATCCAATTAGTTCGCCGGGTAAAAAAACATTCGACATTCCTTCTTCTGAAACCCATACTTTGATGTTATTTGACGTACAATAATTTCGATATGTCTATTATGAATGTGCACTCCCTGAGATCGATAAACCTCCTGGATTTTATTAACCAAAGAAATACGACTTTGTACTATCGTTAGCCCAGCACCAATAAAGAATCCCCAAGGAATGCCTAGAATTCTTGTTATACGTCCGTTCCAAGCATCAACTCTTTTTTCTAGGTTCATCGATATTGAATCAATCGAACGCACTTCTAATACCTGTTCCACTTTTGGGAGACCTTGTGTTATATCACCCGATCTCGATTTTTCATATATAAACGTAACTAATATATCTCCTTTTGAAAGGATTTCTCCATAATGTCCGTGAACAGTTGCGCCTGGAATCGCCAAATAGGGGCTTGCTGATCTTATTACTACAGAGTCAATGTGAACAGTTATAATTTGGCCGGGTTTTTGGTGTGGTCCATTTTTCATTTGAGCTATACATACATTTTCACAAATAAATTGCCCGATACTAATTATTGTAAACGCTTTTTCGCAAGAAATATGATGAAGAAAATACCAATTCAAATGGAATGGATTAAAAAAGATCTTACTGCGTAGATTGGGCTTATACATTTTCTCGTTTTCGTCCATTAAATAATATTTAAAACTCCGTACTTTTACTTGTAGCCTTTAGCCACCAATCTTACCTTGTACTTCTCCACCTTCCCTTCTTGATTGGTCTTTGTTTTGTACACCTACTTTGCACCAATCGGCTTATGACCATCAGGTATGGTTGTGAGCTCCCACGTGTCATTCCTTTTGATTGCAACAATTTCATCATTCATGGCTTTCTTCCATTTTTCATCTTTTCCAGCTTCTTCATATGTCACTGGATCACTTTTAGCCATTAAACAAAATAATGAATAATCAAGTGTAGTTTGTAATGGATCTGTAACATCATAAATATCACTCAAGCTTCTCATCTTTGTTGTTTCTCCCCCTGAATTGCTATTGCTACTACACTACTACTGCTTCCTGAAGTTGATGGTGTAGAAGCTGGGGTTGTTCAAGTAGGACTTGGTGGAGGAGTTTGGTCATTTCCTTCTTGAACCATCTGCTCTCCTGAGTCATCATCATCTTTAAAGAATAGGCCTTCCACTTTCTTTTCTTCATGACTCCATCTCCAATAATCTGCCTCATCAAACTCTACGTCTCGTGAAATGATCACCTTTTTGGTCAGAGGATTGTAGAGTCTGTATGCTTTACTTCTAAGGTCGCAGCTAGTGAAAATGCATTTCTCACCTTTGTCATCTAGCTTCTTTCTTCTTTGATCTGGAATCTTAGCATATGCTATGCAACCAAAAATTCTTAAATGACTTACTTCTGGTTTTTTGCCACTCCATGCTTCATTTGGAGTTTTGAACTACACGTTCTTGGTTGGACACCAGTTTAGTAAATAGGCAGCACATTGAACAGCTTCTGCCTATAATGGTTTTGGCAGTTGTTTTTCTTTGAGCATGCTTCTTGCCATATCAAGATTTGTGTGATTCTTTCTTTCTGCAACGCCATTTTGTTGTGGAGTGTATACAGTTGTTAACTGGTGAACTATTCCATGTTGTCTGCAAAATTCATCAAATAACTTGGAAGTATATTCACCTCCTCTATCTGTTCTAAGCGTCTTCAGCTTTTGACCGCTTTGATTTTCTGCCATTGCTTTGAATTCTTTGAATTTATCAAGGGCTTCTGATTTTTCTTTGAGAAAATATACCCATGTTTTCCTGCTAAAATCATCAATAAAGGTGATATAATACTTGTTACTTCCAAGTGATTGAATGTCAAATGGGCCAACAATATATGAATAAACTAGCTGCAATGGTCTTCTGGCTCTCCATGATTTGGCAACTTCAAAGCTTTGTCTATGCTTCTTTCCTCTTACACAACTTTCACATAACTAGTTTGGTTGATCTATCTGTGGCAATCCACTCACCATCTTTGCTTTTGATAACAACCTCAGGCCAGTAAACCTAAGATGACCAAATTTGAGATGACACAACCATGAACTATTTTTTGTGATGGACTTTATGCACCTTATTGCTTCCGGCTGAATTTTCAGCTTGAAAAGGCGATTTCTTGTCATGTCAACTTTTGCAATTAACTCTCCTTTTTGATTTCTTATAACAAGAGAGTTATTTTTTAGATGTATATCATACCTGTTAGTATATAGATGTCCTAGAGACAATCTTTTAATTAGATTAGGACATATGTGGACCTTTGTATTGTCGCAAATAAATAAAAGCACTATTTATCCTGTTTCATATTTTGTCTCAATATTACTGTTAATATTTTACATGAGTAACTGGATAAACCCCTTGGAATAAAATAGGTATCTCTTGAGTATCTGTGATGAGATCACGATCATGAGGATTCAAGGATACTGGATATTTATTCTTAATTTTATGTTCCTAGTCTAGAGACACTGAGAATGGGGATCAGTGATCTCGGGTAAGACTGGCACGACTTATCTACTTGTATTCGGATGCAAGGTAAAAACCTCATGAGCTAAATATGGAGATGTCTTAGCTAAAGTCGTGGGTGGATCTATAAGGGTATAGCTCGCACTGAACAGACCCACAAAAGAGAGACTATGAGGAAATCTCACAGAGAGTATCATTAGAGTAGTCTCTTTATATTTGGGTATGTCTTTCCTTAGACCAGAAGTTATTACCTAGACTGTGTTCTAGAAGGCATGCTTTGACTGTATATCTCGTCTACATGAAACATGGAGACTCATAGGTATACTGTTGGGCTTGTCCTGAAAGAGCACAGGTCTAGGGTGATAAGCTGAAGGAATTCGTCAAATCTCTGTGAGAGATTAGGTTATCTGTAAACCGGAGAAATCGGGATGACATTTACAGGGACTCGGGAATCTATGCATAGTAAAAGAGATCATGAGATGATCTGCCTTTAGAGTCAGTAAATTGAAGATTCCCTATTTCGAATAAAGCTTACCCGAAACCGCAAGGGTTGATACGCTTCCTTACCCTAGGTTTTATGGGAAGGTAACCGAGACGAAAAGAAATACATACGGCAACCAAATATATGTAATAGGATGATCAAGTCATTAATCTAACTAGCTTTGGGGCAACAAAGCATTGTTAGTGCTCTGTGTTGTCATTAAATGGGTTGTGGGATTGCTGGGCCCGAGCCCATTTATGTCAGTGGCTATGTTGGACCTAATGGGTCACACACTAACACCTTAACGTCATGATGATATAGCATTAAAGGTATTGGGCCTAATAATGATTGTTAGCCCAAGATGAAGTTTGGAAGCTCACCTAAGAGGGATAGGGCCTGGTATTGTTAATGGGCTTGGATGGTCCAAGACATTACTAATTAATTTAATTAGTTAAATTAATTATCAAATATTTAAATTTTGAATTTTGAATTTGAATTTTGAATTTTGAATTTTGAAATTTGAATTTGGAATTTGAATTTTGAAATTCGAATTTTGAATTTGAAATCTGAAATTTGAAATTTGAATTTTGAATTTGAATTTTGAAATTTGAATTTTGAATATGAATTTTGAATTTGAATTTGAAATTTAAATTTGAATTTAGAATTTAAATGTTTGAACGTTTGAATTTAAATGTTTGAATTCGAATTTGAATTGGCTATGAAAAGTTGTTTCATAACAAAAGGATAAGATGAGATCTTGTTGGAACAAATCCCTTGTATCAAGAGAAGATCTATGGAGATCTCCAATGGCTGATTTGGGGCGCCATTTTGGTGGGAGATGATTGTCATCTTGTCAAACCAACAAGCTCCAATCAGATTTGGTTGTTGAGAGAATCAGTGAGCTAGTTGGTTCAAACTTGAATGCAACAGCTCAAATGTATCTAGACCCTTTTTGGGCTGAATAGGGGCACATGAATTGGTGGTCATATGATGACCATTGGTTCAGAATTTTGACTAGATAAAGACCTAGTCTTATGATGATTCAAAGAGGAGGTTGTTGGGATTTTTGAATTGCAACAACTCCACCTTTGTCTCACTCACTTGTGCGCCACTTTCATTATAAGTAAAGTAAAAATTCTGATTTGATACACCAATTCTCTCCCTCTCTTGTGCGCCTAGTTGGTGAGTTCCTCCTTAAGGTTTTTCAAAAGAACCTAGCCAATTCTCTATATACCATTCCCACTCTTGTGAAGTTTTCATGCTGGAGACTTCACTCTTCTAAACACATATACCTAGCCTCCTTCTTCACCTATTGAGCGCATAGCAAGCCTCTCTGTGGTGGTCAATTGGTGGCTTTCAAGAAAGCGTTCTTGCATCTTGACGTGGGTGGTGTGGATCAACGCTAGAGGGTTTGAACCCTTCAAACCTAACACTGATCGTCTTGGAGTTTTGAACTCACAAACAAAGGTAACATCACATGCCATAAAGCATGATTCTTGATTGCATGTGTAATTCCGCATATGAAAAATTTTGTTTTTCCCTCTCACATGCTACGGCCTTCAACGCCATTTTACTTTCAATACCCCTTCTCCAAAAGTTGTCCAATACTGATGAGATTGCTTTCAAAAACGAAATATAATAGACATTTGAAATATATGCCTTATCTCCATTCTTTTTAAAGATCATAATCTTTCCCTTGCCTTTGACTGGAACCTTTGAGAGATCTCCAAAAGGGACTTCTCTTTGAACTTCTTCATTCAGCTCCATGAATAGCTCCTTTTTGCCACATATATGATTACTAGCTCCAATATCAAGGTACCAGATGTAACGTCTGGCAACTTGTAAGGATCAACGACTGTCCCCACACACTAACACAAGACTTTTTAGTGTGCTTTGTCCTCACGGGCACACTTTCCAGAAAAACTTCCCAGGAGGTCACCTATCCTAGAATTAGCCCAAGTCAAGCACGCTTAACTACAGAGTTCTATCGTTTTGGGCTACGAAAAGTAGACGCATCTTGTTAGTATAGGTAGTACCGATTAATTCTTATAAGCTATTCCT